GCTAACGAACATGAACTCCGTATTCAATATAACCATGGTACTCACCGAAAGAACAACTTGGATTGACTATCTCAGCTCTGCGCCAAGTATGACCTAGTTCTTTTGTGTACAAGCTTTCGGCGATCTTGGCACCAACGTGCCACCTGGAAACTCTCATTGCTTGAGTAACCGTGCACTCAAACTAACCACCTCGATAACAGTTACCGTTGACACGGCTGTAAATCAGTCAACAACTAACATCAGCACATAAGCCATTTGAACTAATGCTTCGCTGCTGTACAATCACGATGACCAACGGAATTAAGAATAATAATAGGGAGAGAAGGGGATCTAGTGTAAAACCTTAACGCTTTAAGCAATAATTAAGGTTCAAGACGCCTGCACCTTGTCAACAACTTACCGTCACAAACAACTGGCTATCAAGCCAACATAAGGTGTCATCATCGAGATGGCTTTCTTGCGACTTTCATTGCCCCGCGTCATAAGCAGCCATTAACTCGTAGATAAGTCAAGATCAAGCACACGTTAAACAGGCAGTCCGACTACGAGAGGACAGCGGACCCACCACTGATGCCGACTGCGAGCCATACCAGTTAACATCTCCAGCCAAGCACAAGACAGGTCACTTGGACCCCGGCCTGGAAGGCCAGACGGACTGACCGCCCCAACTTTGGTCCTCAGAGACTACATTTCGCGCTGCCATGTCAACTTTGTCCGCCTATAGCTTCGCGCCACCCTATACCTGACAAACATAACACGGCCCCTATCGGTAAGCGGGGCCTGGGCATACCTAGTACCTGCCCAAGCCAACGCAGCTTATTCAGTGCTTTCTGTGGTTCTGAGGAACTAGCCTGGTTATCAGTATCTAGCGCGCATGTACTCATATCATCCTTCCGGACAAGCTGGGGTCACCCGACAGCAGCAATTCTCCGCAGATAGTGATGATCAAAGACTTGAAGGCGCCAAAGATCGAAGAGGCAGAGTCTCAATACCATACAATAGACTGGCCCTCACTGTCGCCTAGTGAACATGCTTTCGACTCGAGGGAAATCTCCTTCTGGCGCCGCAGATCCAAATGAATAGTTCTAATTTTTGCAATACGTGAACGGATTTCAGTGCTTGGACGCCCATCGTTGTTGATGCAGATACTGCTGTATTAAAGATTGCAAATACATCTGGAGTGCATACTACACTTCGAACCATGTGCTCCTGTGTGCCAAGGTAAATCTAGATTTTGGTGGCAACAAACACCGTCGCCGGAAATAGTTTGATGCGGCTAAAGTTTTGTCCAAATTGTTTGCAGCGTCTTTAAGTATACGTGCCTCATACTCAGACATTGAGGCACACCTGGCGCACATCTGCAGGGTTACGCATAGCTCTGCTCTCTGGGTCTGTGGTTTCACCAGTGGTCCTGTCAACCACTGGGTCTCCGCCCTATCCCTTCAGCTTCTAGAAGCCCGTCAGAGAATTACCGCTGGAGTTGAGTACCATGCACTACGGAGTACAAATAACGCCGAGCTCAAGAAAATCATTCGGAAGCATCGCGTGTTCTGGCACACAAACCGAATCATCATGCTGAAACAGGCGACCATGTCAGGGTATTGCCGTAAGCTTTGTTCCTAACCGGATTCGCTGGCGACAAAATGTCGACTGTAAGCGAAATTTTGTGGAAAGCCGATAGCTAGCCAATCCACTGTAAACAGCGTCGACTTATGCTTCGGGTTGAGTAATTTGTGTAACAGTTTAACTGGCCTGGAGCACAGATGGGCTCTCATTTAGGAATTCGCGGACTCCCTGATGTGTAGAAGCTTCACTGTCATCTTAGGCTGAGTGGATTGTGAGTCTCACCTCAGGAAGCGCTACAAAAACCCTGGGACCACTCGAAATTCAACTAGCTATTTTTACGGCTGAATGTCCATTGCTTGTAGACCAACTAACTTTTCCCTCGAACTTATTTGAATCACTGATTGGGGCCTAGGTGATATCATGCCCGTCTCCGATAGAGGTACATGAACAGACTTTGCCAGTCATTGATGAATTGGATTAATTTGTGTTGCCTCTAAAATGCTGGCTAGCTTGCTTTTAAGAAGGATCATCACTTATACAGCAACTAACTTTCCTCCTCTGAGAGGTCTAGAGGAAAGAGACTAAGCTAGGATTTCAGAGGGCTCGGAACATAGATCGGTTTTGGGTACTTTTGTAACTGGCTGATCTGCGGTCCATTGGTTCAGCCGTACCACTGACGTTGTTGAGGTGCTGTAGATGTAGGATCGCCACATCACGTACTTTGTACATATCTGAGCACGCGTGTAACACTGCATCCTTGAGGTTTACTACCGCTTGTTAAGCCAGCTTTTACTTACTTATATAAAGATTGAAAATGCAACTACTCGTCTGAAACCACCACCACGGTTAGTGGCTCCAAGCTAATGCGGACCTTTGTTTGGTGAAATAGGAATCATGTTCTTCACAGCAACAAAAGGCACTGAGTAGTTCCATCATGGAACCGAGGACATGTACCCCCACCGCTGTTGTCCACTCATGCCTACATTATGGCTTCACGTATCTATATGGTGTCCACTCAGACTAGATGAACGGTAGTTACCGTCTTTATATCTCTTGGCTTTTTGTGTCCCCCAATTCGTACTGGGACTGAAGCTACGGTTGATGCAGAGTGAGTAACTTTGGGGCCCCTGTGGGTTCCGGTGTCCTGCAGTGATCTAATGTTAAGGCGAAAAATTTAGCAGAAAATGGCAACAGTCAGCTGCGATTGGATAGTCGTCGGTGATACGTGACAGCCCTTCTACCTTGCACTCATCCACATAACGGCCACTGACAAATGCGACATTGAATTATCCAGTAAGAGTTGGTCGATAAAGCCTTTTGGGGAACAAAAATGTTGTTGATCATAAGTTTACTCCGTTCGCTACTCTTAGATTAAGTTTGTGCAGCAAAGTATGCATCTGAGTAAGATGTCTGAGTTTTGAGCGAAATATCTCTGCTACACGTTGTCGTAAAGTCAGAAGAATTGATGAGTAGGACTGCAGCAGCACAGGTCTCTTTACAGTTCTAATACCATGCGACCATGAAGTTAAAATGTATTCTGGAATGATCCAGGAATCTCATAGAGTAAGCTTGGAATGCAGTTATGAGGACAAGAAAGCTCGTTGTATAAAGCCCTACTCACTTCAAATACCTCACAGGTCAGCCGGTTTGGTTAACCCAGAACATGAGTCACCGCACTGTTGGCATTAGCTATGTTCGCCACTACTATTTATTGCGACTGCTTATAGCTGGGGACAACTGCGTTTATAGAGCGACGAGGGGCGGTTTGTGAGGTACCAGTCACAATTTCATCCACACGTCGAACATCTTACTCAAAGGGATAAGGCCATGGGGCATGTGGATGGAAACCTTGATTGATTTGGAGGTGGCCTAAAGTCCTCTAATGTGCACCACGCTGTTATCAGACAACGGGATGCACGCACATAATAAGTAAAAGGATTTGCGACTTGGTCGCAGTCCATTCTGTAACCTGCTCTGTCCTAGAGCGTACAGTCTCACAACGGCTAGGCACCGCATATTCCCCAGTAATAATGGACATTCTTCTGGATCCTGATGGATGACGCAGCATCGGGTATGTAGACGTCACAGTAAGCTTCCTTGTGAGTGCAACCAGCTATGGTACATCACCAAGGTATAGACGCCATGCCTATGGCAGTCCACATAACTCGCATACATACGTCCAACAAGTGGCAATGATGCATAACATATACCGCCTCAGCCAAAGTACTGCACGTAGCAGCTGCCTTGGCGTCTCACAGAGCAGGGATTTACAGAGGTACATAACCTAGTCTATGGAGCAGTTATGCACCTTTCAAACAACTGCAAAATATTTGGAATGGAGCTTGTGTGCTAATGAATATGGTGAGCGTATATTCATTATCTAAGTGATTTCCTTGCAGGCAGTAAGGCAAATAATGTGTGAGTAGTATGGATGATCAACCACCAGTTTTTAAGAAGAAATTCACAGACTGCAGTTACTAATTTGGAGATCAGTGGAGATGGGCTATTAACCTCCTGATGAACGGATCTGAAAATTTGTCACTCATACACAAGGCAGTTTTAAGCTGCAACCAGCGTCATTATGTTCAGTCGTAAGGCAGAACTAGCTACATTATTAAATCAATTCGTATATAATACAAAAAGCCCTCGCTGAACACACAGCATCACAAAATGATCTCCAAAAGAGTGAAGGAAACTGAAAGATTTGTCTAAAATGTCACGGGACCACCAATAACGGGGTCATAATGCTTACTTCCGGGTTTCGCAAAATTAAAATAATGCTCGTTCCGGTAAACACAGCATCAGGAATTCGGTAACAGCCACAGCAGTAACCTCTGCGATGCAATCGACAAGACGAGCAACCACTTTCGACTGTAAACCGTTAGGGAAATGTTGCAAAAATTTGAAGAACAGTAGCATTGCTTCTGTGTTGACGCACTTCCAAATGTCTGAGTGCACCCCTCTGCGCGTAAGGGAAGGTATTTCTTCAAACACAGTCGTGAAGTGGTTTTTATCTCAGTGTATTCCTGACCCCAGCGAGGTTTTCTAAAATCCGTTCGTTGTGTTTCTTCAATCTTCATGCATGCCTTGCAGTTTTCAACTTCTTGCCACGGACCCAAAGATTTATCACAAGGCCACAAAGTGGTCTGACGCTCGCGGTCCACTATTTCACATTCATAACAACTAATGTTGGCTGTTTCGAGTGGTTTACCGCAAGGGAAAGAGATAATAAACAGAACGAGGGTTGCCTGAAAAGCCAACATTTGAACCGCGCGGTGTAAACAATGTGTTCAGCGTCGACCTATGGCCATTGTCGCGTTGGCGTGGTTTGTCAACCAATCAACGGGCAGAGTGGTCAGGCCACGAACGCCTACGCCCGAATCGATGGCAGGAAGAACGGCGGCGGTTATGTGCACAACCTTGGCCTTTTGTTTGTCCTCTGCAGGGCGTGTGAACCTACTTTAGTTGGCTGCCCAGCAGTGGCGGCTTCGGAATTATGACCGTCTCGTACTCTCGCTCTGTGGCCACAGTTCATCGAGGATCACTTGCGCGTCTACTTTGTCGATGGCGTGGCAGCGTTTACAAGGCAGTTTGGCCGATATTTGTTTTGTTTTGTTTAGTTTACGGAATACTAGCACTAACTTACTACTTTCTTCCTTCTAACACACCTGAAAGACGCGAGGTGAAACGTCGATTCGTCCAAGTTTGTGCCTATGCCGGGCACATCTCAGGTGCAATACCAGTCTCTCTGGTCCTTGGATTTTTTGTGAACATTGTGGTTAGCAGATGGTGGCAGCAATTTCTCAATTTACCCACTCCTGACTCTGTTTGTTATTTGGTAGCAACCTACTTGAGAGATCCTGCGACTCACGGAAAACAGCTAGCCACACGAGATACCGAGGACAGGCCGGCTATGTTCAGGCGTGCCATTGCCCGTTATCTGAATTTGGCGCTTGCTATTTGCTTTCTCAACATATCGCTCAGTATGAAAAGAGAGATTGGATCCTTGGATCAGCTGATGGAATTGGGGCTGATGACCAAAGAGGAACACAGGATTTACGTGGATCTTTCACACGGGGAAAGCCACTTCTTCATCCCTTTGGTATGGGTGATCACGCTTATGACCAGAGCTCATCACGAAGGAATGGTACATCATGAGCGGCATTTGGATTCAATGGTTGGGAGCGTCGTAGAGTATTGGAAACAACTTCAGTCTCAGTTTTTGTACGATTATGTGAATATTCCACTGGTGTATAACCAAGTGAGTAACGAATTGGTATTTGTTCATGCTATTGGCTTTCGCTATTTCCTGAGTGAGACGAACTCATTTGTACTTGCATTAAACATTCCAACTCATTAGACTGACTTTAGTGGACACTTCAAAGAAATAGGAATATTAAAGCTTTTTATAAGCTAGCTAAAGACCCTATTTACCTTGGCCAGTCTGCAAGTAGAAGTGCTCGACAGAAGGGATGTTCTCTTTACCCTTATCCAGTTTACTATGAAAATCGAGTCGAGGAGGTTTTCTCTGCCCACCACGAATGTGAGCATCGCCGACAAGCATGTCGCAAATTCGGTTTCTAGGAAATTTACTCGTTTTTCATTGCAGTTTCAGCTCTTTTAATTGATATCTAAAATGATAAATTTCATTTTGCATCACTCTCAAAGTATCTTTTGCTGTTCTGGTTAATCAACTATTTGCTTATGTCACCAATTAGGATGTGAGGGTTTATTCTCAGTCAGGCATTCACGTCATTCCAACTGCCAGCCATAAAATCCAACATCAAGCACACAGCAACCATCACGGTTTCATGGTGCATCTTAAAGGCTCACATTATAAGTGTTATAAATATCCTGGTTTGATTTCCACTGTCCTACTCGGAACCGAAGAACTCTCTCACTCGTCGTTTCCCATGCGCAGAGCAGCTTAGACGATTCGTATTGGAACGGCTAGTAGACATAGCCAGCAGACGTGAACTCTTAACTGATAAACCAGACGGAACGTGTACACGCCGCACAACTGTACCGAGGCGCGCAGAAACAAGACTGATCAGTAGTAAGAGTGCTTTCTGACTCAACCAAGACAACCGTGTTTTTCACTACATGTTTATAGTTCACTAAAACAGTAGTAATTGTGTAAGTAGTAGGGAAGGCGTAGGTTTTGTTGGCACATGATTTGTCTTGTAGTGGTTCTATCTCAGGGTCGATAGGGGGTGGGTTCCATACTGTTGAGATGTTGAACACATCACAGTTGCTGAATATGCTCGGTGGCTAAGACATTAGCATGAACACAGTTCAGGAGGCAGACTGTTGACTTGAGGAGAGTCCGGGAGATACAGTAGTGAGACAGGCGAGTTCAGTGGAAAGTATGCAGGATACGTTGACCGTATTCTCATTGGGGACAACTCCGCTGTGATCTGTACAAACACGTGGGCCCTTGGCGACAGTTTCCGTATGGCGAGCTCCGCTCTGAACTGAGTTGTTTGCGTCTCTGAATAGCGAACGTATTGTTCGGGTCCGATAGTGCACTGGTGCCATTGAGTTTGGCAGGGGTGTGTCAGCCCTGTAACAATAAGCAAGATACCCTTACAGGAACCACCATGCATGAAACATGGTTCCTATCATAATCCTTTCGACACATGGCATCAATGAGAACGCAGCTTATTCCTCGGCTGTATTTTTACACTGTCGATCCGACTGTAGGTTGCACACACTAGCTAGCAAAGAACGCATTGTGAGCGTCATTTTTCATCATCTATTTGGGACAGGTAGAGCTACGCCACAACTCCGCTCAGGTTCACTTAAAAATTGACCTCATTTATGCATTATAGTGGAGAAATGTTAGGTTTCAGCAGTGTCCTTTGGCTCAGGTAACGTTTTCGTTGACGGTACCGCTTGTTATGCCCTTGAATTCCCCTTGCCGAAATTCAAAATATGCAAACAAACACCAATTTTGGCACGACAAGCAGATAGAAGTAAAAACCTGAGAATTTTGTGCCTAGCCGAATCGTTGCAGTTTCTCAGTAACGTTCACCTTCATGCACGAAACACACACCATCTCGTCATTCCATTTCATCACCAGCTGTGCGTAGCCCACTTTGTTTCGTCATTTAATCAAGCAAGTAATGTACACTGATGTTTCACGTAGTGATTGAAAAATAGTTCCCTTGATAGTACCGTTGGCTTCCACTGCTACCTACATTTCAAACTTCTCCACAGCATCGTTAAGTGCAGTATTCCATCCCGCAGTACTGAAATTCACAGTCTGCAGGATCAGTGATCACCCAACGGTTGTATGCACACTGCTTTCCAAGGTCTGCTATCACAAATCGATTCATGTAGATAACTTCTATGCACAAGAAGAAATTTACATTCGGCATTCGACCTGTCACTAGTGGCCGCAGTAGAGTGATTCTACATGTTCCATCTGGTTCGCTGGGCTTACCGTTCGCTTAGCACATGTGTTACATGAAGACTGATCGTGTGGGATGTGAAGCAGCTGGATTATAACGTTCTGTTAAGCAGAGATTAAGTTGGGTCCATTTGGTTAACCCTTCATTTCCGTTGGTCGCCAAACCACTCTTCCTTGTCTGGTTGACCACCTCTATGGTACTGTTACGGGTCAACTCAAAATACGCTACGCATTATTCAACCTTGAGCTTATTTCAATACGAGGTGTGTACGATATTCCAGTTTGAGCCATAACGACCAACAGCTCGCTTGCAACTTTAACGCCACTGTCTTCTTATCTGGGTACATTATTGTACTCAAAATCGGGCTTCCTATCGCATGTTGCACCCTTCCTGTCCGACTAGATGCTAATGATGCTTTGATTTTTCCTCTTCAGGTTGTTACCTGGGTTGTCTATCTGTATATAGCAACAATGCTACTCTCACACCAATTCACGGACCCCACTAAGGTGCTAAAGGAGTATGAACAAGAGCTTTTAAGAAACAACTACTCCAGTGGAATTTATCATAATTCTTCATTCCTCAATGTTACCACCACTCAGGATGACCTTTATTCCCCGTCTGCATTGGATACGACTCCGAATCTTCCCGTATTTGCCTTGCTTTCTCTGGTATTCTACGCAGGCTGGCTTCGTGTCGCTGAGACGAATGTGTTTCCGTTTGGTGAGGATGACGACGACTTCGAGTCCGTGCCTCTTCTGGAGCGAAATATGAACGCGAGCATGTGGCTAGCGAACACCACTTCGAAGGAGGCAACAGCAGGAATCCCAAATGTGGTGAAAGGTTTGGAAGAAATATCGGCTGCTGAAGAGCCCGTCGAAGAGGGTGCAGAAGACAAAGAATCCATAGATGATTTGCGAATGAGGAAACACACGCCACCTGCTGTACCGTTTGGTGGTGAGGGGGCTCGTGCCAGTACAGTATCGAGGCCCTCTATAGTGGATCTAGACCCGAACCCAGCTTCAGAGTTACCATGCCCTGAAGACCTACGGCGTCGCTCATCAAAATTCTTTTTCGCTGGCTCCATGGCTCGTCTTGCAGAAGAAGACTTGCCAGCACCCTCATCTACTCGGCGTGCTTCCCGAGCATATCGCCTCCATTCGTCGCAAGTCGAGGAAGCGGAGCCTGACTACAACTTACTTCATGTTCCGCGAGCAACTGTCGGAGGTCAGGTTGGCAATTTTTTCGGCCGCGTCGGGTCAAGAATTTCCGAGATTATCCTCCCGAAACGTCATTCCGTAGCGACTTCTGAGGCTACCTCATCGGTAGAGCACACTGACGTCAGTATGACACCACCAATCCGTAGTGTCATCACCCGCACGCCACGGGACAAAACACGTATAGACTAGCACCGCAACTCAGTGCTTGCGCATTGGTCTCCAGACTCATGAAGATACCACTCTAGTGGTGGATTTCGTTAAGTTCCTTTCAATCAAGGTGAGGCAGACTGTCTCATCTGTGCACAACGAGTTTCTCCCTTCTGTACTCGCCTAGTGAGTAATATTGTGATAACCTTTTCTTCCGATCGCCCCACGCCGTCAGTGCACTACTTAGTCAAATACTGGGTTCAACCGCTGGCACCAATTTCACCTTACGCTTACGATATGTCGATCTCTGTTATTTGTTACTGAAATCGTTCATAATTTATGATGTGTATATCACAGCCCAACCATGTTTTTCCTTATCAATCTGCATCGCTTACGGCCGATGAATCTGGTTCCGAACTTTCACGATTTCCTTACCGGACAAGACTATTTGCTTTAGGTTGGAAGAAGGTAACATGTTTACATTGACTCTGAGGGGCTATCATGTATGCGATGTTATCAGTACGATCTGCTTATCATTAGACATTGCTAGTCAGTAACTAACTGGCGCTCAATACCAATTTTTCTCATATGTTCGCCAAGATTACCAACCTCGAAGATGCTACTATCCTAGCCATTATCTGAATAGTGTGATGTCGTACTTTAGGCTGATTAGAAGTGTATTCCAGTGCTGAACGGTAGACAAATCTGTCAGCGCAAGGTGAGTAGCTAGGTGCTTCAGTTCGCTCAGTTCCTCTCATACAACTCTTGCTTAAACTCGCCTTGCCTGTGAGTTCATTTGTTGCCCTGGTAGCCTCGTCCCATTCTACATGAGTTAATACAACAACTGTCACATACACGGTGAAATCATGTGCTAGTCGGTCGCCAGGTGCGTATCAAGAGGAGGTATCACATTGTTACTGGGGTGAGTCACTTGACTGCCACTTAAGATATTAGCCATCGGTAGCATCACTGTGATATAAATACACACTTCAACTTTCACAGCTTGATGACCTTTTAACGCGATAACGCCTGCTCCAAGAAATGATCTCCCAGAAGTACCTAGATTCTTATCCGGGTGACAGCTTATGCTGCTTGTAAGATGATGACCTCAGTCCCCCCCCCTCGAACTTCGTAGCATTAGTGAGGCAGTTACTGAATTCTGGGTTTGAATTTATCAGCTGACAGTCACGGGAACCAATTGAATATGTTTAAAGAGCTATTTGGTGAATGGTATTTCGTGTAATGATTTGCAACCGTGCATGTATATGTTTTCAGGATAGATCCTGTTATGGAAATAGATTACCGAAAGTCATTTTTTAAACATAAGCTGAGCTACCCTTGTGTCCTATCCGGCATGCGATTCTACGATGATTAGCTGCCGATGATCACTCAACTCTGGTCAAGGATGATTTCACAATGATTAAATCTCATTTCGACTAGTTGATGATGTACCATACGGTAATCGGTTGTTCAAGCTTTGGTGACGCTCGCCGGACATTATTGTTTGATCCCCGCAGGCACAATTTAACTTGTTGTGCATGAAAGTTCTTTCCAGCTATCCACTTTGAGTAACTTCACTTGGCATTGTGCCTGGTTGCCACCTGGAGTAGGTTAAGCACAAAAAAACGGTTCGGTCAGCCGGACCTTACTCGTTTGTTCTCTACGTCTTTAACCTGACCACTGATTAGCACATCAGGATTACGACTGTGTCCTACGCTGAAGCCACTGTTGCACAGCCATTTATCCTGTGCATTGACTCACCCGTTCTAACATTATTATCTACCCAAAGAGTTCTCTGATCCCATTCATAACTTGCATACGGCTTACTGTCAAACTGGTCGCTAAATTCATCTAACTACCATATTGTGGTAGTAAGGGGCAACACGGGGTATGATGGTTGCAAATCGAACGGCCGCGTTGATCGAACATGAAGTCAACGGACTAAAAGTTAATCGATCGCAGCCAAGGCAATCTGATGGCAACTACGCGGGCTGGATAGACAATACATAATTGAATCGGAGTGATATGAACAGTGCTCGAACGCCGTCCAATCGCGAGAGGAAATGCGTCACATTTAGGCAGTTTTGATTCAACCGAGATATAAATTGATCACGTATTTTTTCAAGTAACAGAGTTTGATTGTGGCCCAGACTTCGTCTTTGATTCCTGGAGGGCCACTGCGACATCTGGTACTTTCACTACGCCTCATTCCAACATGTAACGAATTAGGAGTAATTTATGCAGCACGCGCAATCCATTATCTTCTGCTACAGCAACTTACCTCATGGTGAGCGATGCCATCTTCTCGATCCCACACAACCCCAATTTTACTGCCTTACACATTCCCATGCGAATGCGTTATGCGTTTACAGCTGAGGAATAGAGACCTCAAACCTCAAGTACTCCTATCCCCATATGAACTTGATTAATGTATTTTTATGTGACATTCTTAGCTGCACCAATTTAGATACCTAACAATTTGAGCGGTCCGGTGACTGGTTCACCAAAGTCTCGATACCCAGTCTTTCTTTTTTAGCTACCATCTAACATGAGTCGTGGAGTTCGTCTGTTCGGCTAATTACTTGGATTCCAGCAAACGTCAGCATTTTCAATGGTGAAGTCCAACTTTCCAATGCTGTTTAACACATCCCATCAAGTATGCGTTGTACTTCCATTGAAGCTTTTATACAGAATATACGAGTGCCTGTTTGTGACTCGGGTTAACTTCAACCATTTAGGTGCCATTTTACGCGACTTCTTCAAATTCCTCAAGGCAGTTGCGCTGCAGAACCAAGGTATATGCGATGGAGTGCGCATACAGAACATAAACGATACCGAACTATGCAACCAATTTAATACATGTAAAAAAGCGAGCTACGTTCCCTTAAGCATACTATGTATGTTAATTAGGGTTTCACCAAAATGCGTTTCAGTTTTCCGTGAGGGAACTGGCTCAGTTTTCCGTGATTTACTACAACGCAATGGTGAGTTGTGAAGACCCAGTAAGTAAAGAGTTCCAGACCTCGCTAAAACTGCTGAGGTTACTTGCGTGAGGTTGCGATTTACATCGTGTGTCCTGCTTCCATTGGATGTGAAGCTAGGGAGTGTACAAGTGACGGAGAAAGGTGGTAAGCCATCCACCCTGCAGAATACGCAATGCAATCTGAAATTGCATTCGACAAGTGAAATTTGTTTGGTGCAGTTTTTCGTTTTGGACTTTAAACTTCTTGTTTATCATCTACTTCCTCCACACAACTGCTGCAATAGCACCGTTTTAGTAGGCGTTATGAAGTTTATCATAAGACAAGCAGTTGTTCATAGTCAATAATGAAGGGAATTTTGGAGATTATGGCCAAACGTTTTACCAGTTTTTTAGAAGTCAAGTTTGTTTGTAGCAACAACGCATTCCAGTGAGCATGTGAAGTTTGTCGGCCCTACACAGTGTGTTGTAACTCAGCACGCGAGTGCTACACTACCGTCAATTCTCAGGTCGCGACAACGTTATTGACTTTGCTCCCTTCGGGCGTATTCCAAGCACTTGTTCCACCCATATCGTAGCCTTGAGAAGATTGCACCTCTGGGATCTTCACACCTGAGGTCGTGTGCCTCATGGCAAACTGTCACAATCTTATCATCGTCAAAGGTTACGCTTCTAAGCTTCAGCTGTCCCTGAGAAAGCACAAGCGTTCACATTAAGCTAATGATATAAAGCTAACCCATCAGTGGGCTGCTTGTAAGCGTGTCTCTGCGATGCCGCTATAGGGGAGGGGGGGGGTCGATGTACAAATCCCTCCGTATGCTCTGTGAGTACAGATGTTTTATCAGGCTACTTAAATTCGGATGACATTCCACATAAAGACTCTTTGATCTCCAATTTCACTATCTAAGTTCAATTTCCTTCTGGTGTCGTTAGAGTTTAGGACGTAGGTATCTAACTGAAAATCGCTACGGCACTGCCTAAGATATCGTGAAAGAAACCCGGCCTTAACACACTTTTGTGCACAGCTTTGCGCCAAGAAAATTCCAATAGAAATGCACTGTGCGTTACACTGACGCATTTGAATTTACCATCAAAGCAACCCCAACTTTTTCTCACATGTTTCAATGTTCCTCTACCTGCGTATATCATGGCAATGGTAAGTTCAGTGAATGACCTAAAACACGCACATATCAATGAGCATTTTTAACGAATGTCTAAAACAAAACCGCCTTCGCTCATTAACGAATTTGAAAGATATCGGTCACACGTTCGGTAGTTGTGGGTGGACGTTGAAATTCTTTAACTTATGTTTTGTGCATGTCATCTAACCAGCTTTCATGGTACAGAGACGTGTTGTGAACTCACTCGATTCGATTCGAGTTCACACGAGAACGCCATCGGAAACTGATGGAGAAAAGATCTGGTTACTAAAAGTTTACTCAAAAGGAGGAAGAAAGATGTGAGCGCTATCATCTGGGCTGATAAGAACGAGGGACCGTTAACCCATCGAGTATGTATTTTGGAAACCATTTTCAGACGGTGATGAAGTCCCATTCCAGTAAGGTGACATGCTTCAATCAGTTTTAATTAGTTACTTCCAAACATTTAATGTCCAGTATGCAGCTTCACCCAACAGGTGCCACTTAAGCATAATTAAACGCTTTGTAGATGCACAAAGTATCCGCACAGACTGAGGATGTGTAAAATTAGCCGCTCACTATAGCAGTAGATTACAGATTTATTTTAGAGTGAAAGTAGGGAGTACGGATAGGTTATTATCCATCCAACTGGTATCTCCCTACTAAAGATTTACACCAAATCTCTCTACTGGGCACCTTTTTGTTCTCTACCTACAGTAACGAAATGTCTCAGCTACTTCGGTCACTTTATACTTTGTTTGTGGACAGTTTGATGGTTTGGATAACAATGAAAGCTTGCGGCCACCGCGGTGAGCCTTGAATGAACCTCGATCGTCCCTACACAGAAGTCAGTTTATCGAACGATCCGGTCAAGTCGTTATTTAGAAGCGTTGAAAAGGGGTGGCGATGTGCGAGTCTTAACACAGATCGGCCAAACGCTACATTCCATATTTTCCGTCCAAAAACTAGGCGAACTCTCATGCTACGAGTTGGAGTCCGGGGACAACACGAACAAGCTACACCGAAACAAACTGCACATACTTCGGGCCGCTCGTCTTTTATACTCCATTATGAGATTAGTGTTAGGTTACGGATCACCACTTACTGTCCGATTCATCATTATTATACACGTCAGCTAGAGGTGGGAAACAACTCAGCTACTGTGCCGCAGGATACTGTCAGGTTGCTCAGACCTAGACAGGAGAACAGTTAGAGATCACAACCAAAGCCTTTGGTTCAAAAACTTGACCGCAAGGCAGCGGGTTTGGCGTTGGACTACAAGGAGTCCGTTTTAAGGAATAAGGTGCCACCCTCATTCCAACCCCCAACCTGGAGGACCAGGAGGCTGAGTTTGTCTGGCCTCTAACCATTGAC